TTTTTTGTATTTTTAGTAGAGACAGGATTTCACCATGTTGGCCAGGATGGTCTCGACCTCCTGACCTCATGATCCACCCACCTTGGCCTCCCAAAGTGCTGGGATTACAGGCGTGAGCTACCATGCCTGGCTGACTTTCTTTCTTCTATTTGTTCCATTCTATTGTTGAGACTTTCCAGAGCATTTTGCATTTCCGTAAGTTGTCCATTGTTTCCTGAAATGTTGATTGTTTTTTATTTATGCTATCTATTTCATTGAATAGTTCTTTCACTTCTTGTATGATTTTTTTTTCCCCTTACATTGGGCTTCACCTTTCTCTGATGCCTCCCTGATTAGCTTAATAACTAACCTCCTGAATTTCTTTTTCAGGTAAATCAGGGATTTCTTCTAGGTTTGGATCCATTGCTGGTGAGCCAGTATGATTTTTGGGGGGTGTTGAAGAACCTTGTTTTGTCATAGTACTAGAGTTGGTTTTCTGGTTCTTTCTCCTTTGGGTAGGCTCTGTCAGAGGGAGGGTCTAGGGCTGAAGGCTGTTGTTCAGATTATTTTGTCCCATGGGGTTTACCCTTGATGTAGTACTCTCCCCCTTTTCCTATGGATGTGGCTTCCTGAGAGCCCAGTCGTAGAGATTATTATCTCTCTTCAGGGTCTAGCCACCCAGCAAGTCTACTAGGCTCTGGGCTGGTACTGGGGGGTGTCTGCAGAGTCCTGTGATGTGAACTGTCTATGGGTCTGTCAGCCTTGGATAGCAGCACCTGTTCTGATGGAAGTGGCAGGGAGGTGAAATGGACTCTGTGATGGTTCTTAGCTTTGGTGGTTTAATGCTCTATTTTTGTGCTGGTTGGCCTTCTGCCGGGAGGTGGCGCTTTCCAGAGAGCATCAGCTATGGTAGTGTGGGGAGGAACAGGCGGTGGGTGGGGCCACTATTCCCTTAGTCTTCAGTTACCAGGATAGGTAGGGAAGGACCACTGGGTGGGGGCAGGATTAGGAGTGTCTGAACTCAGACTCTCCTTGGGTGGGTCTTGCTGCGGCTGTGAGGGGTGAGGTTCCCAGGTCAATGGAGTTATGTTCCTAGGAGGATTATGGCTGTCTCTGCTGAGTCATGCAGGTTGTCAGGGAAGTGGGGAAAAGTCAGCAGTCACAGGCCTCACCCAGCTCCCGTGCAATCCAAAGGCCAGTCTTACTCCCACTGTACCCCCACCCCCAACAGCACCAAGTCTGTTTCCAGGCAGTGGGTGAGCAAGAAAGCAGGGGCTTTTAAAGAGGACTTGGCATGAATGGTATGTAAGGGAGAGAGTGAGGAAGTGTGGGGTCTCCGTGACTTGCTTATTCATCAGGTGGTCTGGCTGATGCCATTGTGGGCAGAACTCAGTTGTACATTGACTGTTGTCTCAGGGCAATCTCCTGGTGGGGAGAATCTCAGGGAGTGCCTGGTGTGGTTCAACATTTCTTCCTTAGAATTTCTTTTTGTTTTGTTTTGTTTTGTTTTGAGACAGCGTATCTCTGTCACCTAGTCTGGAGTGCAGTGGCGCAATCTTGGCTCATTACAACCTCCGCTTCCTGGGTTCAAGCGATTCTCCTGCCTCAGCCTGCTGAGTAGCTAGGATTACAGGCCCATACCACCATTAGCCATACCACCACCAGGCCCATTAGCCAAGTGGCCCATTAGCCACTTGGCTAATTTTTATATTTTAGTAGAGATGGGATTTTGCCATGTTGGCCAGGCTGGTCTCAAACTCCTGACCTCAAGTAATCTGATAGCCTCGCCCTCCCAAAGTGCTGGGATTACAGGTGTGAGCCACCGTGCCTGGCCTCCTTAGAATTTCTAAGCAAACATATAGTTAGATGAGCTTGCAGCACAACGAGTGCCTCATGGAAAGAAGGTAAATGTTATCATTGCATTCCTTTTTTTTTTTTCTTCAACTTTTATTTTAAGTTCATGGGTATATGTGCAAGATGTACAGGTTTGTTACATAGGTAAATGTGTGCCATAGTGGTTTGCTGCACAGATCATCCCATCACCTAAGTGTTAAACTCGGCATTCATTAGTTATTCTTCCTGATGTTCTCCCCAACATTCCCAGGCCCCAGTGTGTTGTTCCCCACCATGTGTCCATGTGTTCTCATCATTCAGCTCCCACTTATAAGTGAGAACATGTGGTGTTCGGTTTTCTGTTCCTGTGATAGTTTGCTATGGATGATGGCTTGCAGCTCCATCCATGTCCCTGCAAAGGACATGATCTCATTCTTTTTTATGGCTGCATAGTATTCCATGGTGTATATGTCCCACATTTTTTTTTAATCCAGTCTATCATTGATGGGCATTTAGATCGATTCCATGCCTTTGCTATTGTGAATAGTGCTGCAATGAACATAGGTGTGCATGTATTTTTATAATAGAATGATTTATATTCGTCTGGGCGTATACCCAGTAATGGGATTGCTGGGTCAAATGGTATTTCTTTCTCTACGTCTTTGAGGAATCACCACAGTGCCTTCCACAATGGTTGAACTAATTTACACTTCCACCAACAGGGTAAAAGCATTCCTTTTTCTCTGCAACTTTGCCAGCATCTGTTGTTTGACTTTTTAATGATAGCCATTCTGACTGGCATGAGATGGTATCTCACTGTGGTTTTGATTTGCATTTCTCTGATGATCAGTGATGTTGAGCTTTTTTTCATGTTTGTTGGCTGCATGAATATCTTTGTTTGATAAGTATCTGTTTATGTCCTTTGACCCCTTTTCTGTTTTTTTTTGGGTTTTTTTTTTTTGAGACGGAGCCTTGCTCTGTCACCCGGGTTGGAGTGCAGTGGCGCGATCTTGGCTCACTGCAAGCTCCTCCTGGGTTCACGCCATTCTCCTGCCTCAGCCTCCTGAGTAGCTGGGACCACAGGCTTCCGCCACCACGCTGGGCTAACAATTAGCTAGTTACTTTTTAAGATATTTAAACTTACTTTTGTTGAATGGTTTTATAGACTTTCCCTGCAGTGATGAGTAAAATGTCCAGTAAGATTAGTATTTTGGGGAGATCATGGAGCCTTACTCTAGGCCAATACCGTCCTATAGAAATATAAGGTGAGCCAGATACTTAATTTAAAATTTTCTAGTAGTCACGTTAAAGAAAAAAGTAGATTAATTTTGGTAGATTAAAAAAGTAAGATTAAGTAGATTAATTTTAATAATATATTTTATTTAACCCAGAATATTATATCCAGGAATAATATCCAGAATATTATTTTAACATGTAATCAATATTTTAAAATTACTAATGATACATTTTACATTCTTCTTTTGTGTACTGAGTCTTCATAATCTGATGTGTATTTTATGCTTACAGAGCATCTCAGTTGGTACTAGGCATGCTTTAAGTACTCTGATGAGTTGGACCTTACAGATTTAGACTCATGTATGTTTCACTCTTTTTTTTCCCCTTCTTTCCCTTCTCATTAATTTGTGGCCATTAGCTTTGCCTGTTCTTTCCTGGACTTTGCTGCCTTTTCTATTCTGCTTCTTCCAACTTACCTTGTACCTAATGTGGCTTATTCTTGGGCTCTTTGTGAATTTGGTCTAAGCTATTTTCTCTTCTAAGCCTGATGACAATTTGTCAGGAAGGGGCCGGTGACCAGGTAGGAGCCTGCAAGGAGGCTGTTGTCTGAGACACAGACTTTCTTTTTTTTTTTTTTTTTTGAGATGGAGGCTCACTCTGCCACCCAGGCTGGAGTGCAGTGGCACGATCTCAGCTCATTGCAACCTCCACTTACCGGGTTCAAGCGGTTCTCCTGCCTCAACCTCCTGAGTAGCTGGAATTACAGGGGTGCACCACCATGCCCAGCTAATTTTTGTATTTTTAGTAAAGACAGTGTTTCAGCGTGTTGGTCAGGCTGGTTTCGAACTCCTGATTTCGTGATGCGCCCGCCTTGGCCTCCCAAAGTGCTGGGAGACGCAGACTGACTGACTTTCTTTCTTTCTTTCTTTCTCTTTCTTTCTTTCTTTCTTTTTCTTTCTTTCTTTCTTTCTTTCTTTCTTTCTTTCTTTCTTTCTTTCTTTCTTTCTCTTTCTTTTCTTTTCTTTTCTTTCTTTCTTCTTTCTTTTTCTTTCTTCTTTCTTTCTGCCTGTCTTTCCCTCCCTCCCTTCCTTCCTTCCTTCCTTCCTTCCTTCCTTCCTTCCTTCCTTCCTTCCTTCCTTCCTTCCTTCCTTCCTTTTTTGACAGAGTCTTACTCTGTCACCCAGGCTGGAGTGCAGTGGCACGATCTCGGCTCACTGCAAGCTCCGCCTCTTGGGTTCATGCCTATTCTCCTGCCTCAGTTTCCTGAATAGCTGGGACTAGAAGCGCCCGCCACCGTGCCCGGCTATTTTTTTGTATTTTTAGCAGAGACAGGGTTTCACCATGTTAGCCAAGATGGTCTCGATCTCCTGACCTCGTGATCAGCCTGCCTTGGCCTCCCAAAGTGCTAGGATTACTGACGTGAGCCACCACCACTGGCCTGCAGACTTCTTTGTAAGGTGTTTCTGCCTCTTCTTCAAGTGGAGTCCATTGAAATGGTGGTAGATTATTCCATTTTGCACACTGGGGACAGTGAGTTTTATTTTCAATTTTAGAAATAAGTAGAATTTCAGAGAAAGAGAGTGAATGTTGTGCTTAGTATATTTGGGAATGAAATACCTATTGCAGATGATAGCCTTGTATTAAACAAAATGCTCTTAAAAAAATTGAATTGCAGAAGGCAAAACTATCTTCATTTCTTTGCTGCTAAGGTAAGTTACTTCCAATGTTTGCAAGATCAACCACTTAATTGTATAGTGTATGTATATGCGTAAATACACATGTGCATCTAAAGGACAATTTCAAAGTAATGTTATTTAATATGATTTCTTTTCAACTTCTTACCACAGAAAAATCTGAACAGACACCCTAGTATAGTTATTTAAAATTATAAAATTTTAAAATAAAACATTGAAGTATGTTGTTATGCATTGATATTCCATATTTTCTCGTAGAAACTGAGAAGATAAAGATATTTATCATTTACCTCAAGAAGCCCATGATTATCAGCTACAAAGAAGTCATGAAAATAGAAATCCATTTTGATTTGCAGTTCAACATATCACAAGCTTCCATTCAAGCTTTAGGAAAAGATAAACAGGTGGCAGGTTTCATTCTTTTGGATTATTTAAAAATGTTTTAGTATATTTCATGTCTATTAAATGTCCTTGTTGGGTTTTGATGTGAATATTTGATCAAGCAGAAAACCTGGTCTTTCGAGTGCCATGTGAAAAGAGTTGAGAGTTCTGGATTTGAATCCCACTTTTCCCTTTTCGTGGGTCATTGTCTTGACGAGGTAGGACAGAAAGCCTCTTTGTTCCTTGAAATGCTTTATTCTACTTACTGTGAACAGATGAAAAGTTTTCTAGGATAATATCACCCTCTTACCACCTTCTTCCTGGAGTCCTGAGGACACTGGCATTTCCATCTCTCTCAGCTCCCCCTGGACCTATGGGGAGTGTATTAGTCTGTTCTCACGCTGCTAATAAAGACATACCCGAGACTGGGTAATTTATAAAGGAAAGAGGTTTAATGGACTCACAGTTCAACATAGCTGGGGAGGCTTCACAATCATGGTAGAAGGCAAAGGAGGAGCAAAGTCACATCTTACATGGTGGGAGGCAAGAGAGCTTGTGTAAGGGAACTCCCCTTTATAAAACCATCAGATCTTGTGAGACTTACTATCACGAGAACAGCATGGGAAAGACCCGTCCCCATGATTCATTTACCTCCCATGGGAATTATGGGAGCTACGTTTCAAGATGAGATTTGGGTGGGGACACGGCCAAACCATATCAGGGAGTCATTAGGAATAAAGTTTCTGAGGGAGTTTTTCCACAGTTTTACCTGTCGGTCTTACCTTGTGGAAATGGTCTGTACCTCTCTAGATTGCTGTGATCTCCAACTCTCTGACTGTAATGTTTCCTGTTTGTTGACAGGAACAGGAAACCTTTCTATATCACAGACGGTAGACGGGGCAAAGAAATTTGTGACAAAAGGCAAAAAATACTGTGGTAATGGCCCACAGAGAGTTGAATTAAGAGCTCAGAGATCTGAGGGAGAGGTCTTGGTCTGGCTTCCTTTTGGTTTGAGTTGTATATGAAAGTGTTTATATGTAGCAAAGTGCTCTTAAAATAGTTTCCAAAAACTCACCCTATTTTAATGACATGGTCTTTTTACAAAAACTCCATTTCGTGGTTGAGGATGAGGATGAGAAATAAAGGGGAAATCAGTCACTTGATAAAAAAACATTTCTTCCATCAAATTACATATGTTCTGATGAGAAGTTTGCCTTAACTCACAAAAACATCAAAACCATATGTATTTCCATATTTCACAAAATGAATAATATGTTTGGAGGGGAGAATGAGGATCTTCCTGTGATAAAACTGCAGTTCCTAGAATAGGAGGCCCCTACCCTAGGGAAAGGGGTTGGCCTGAGGACCCTACAGTTGGGAACTCACTACAGACTCATCCTGAGAGAGACTCAGTGCCTACAAGAAGCAGGGATTAGCCGTTACCCAACGGGGTGAGACCTGGGCCAGAGATGGGAGAGGCTGGGAAGACACTAGGAAAGAGTGCTTAGAGCAGGGGAATGGCTAGCCCTAGCTCATCCTGGAGGGAGATGGGGCCTGGAGAAGGCAGAAACAGTGGAATGATCCTTCAGGAGAGGACAAACTGGTAAACTTGAGTAACTTCTGATTTATCATGTTTTGTTCTAAGCTTTAGGTTTTCCTTAATTTTTTTTTTTAAATGACTACATTTCAAAGTTGACTTTTGTCTTGCATTTCAGATGTTGCCTGACCAGATGAAAATCTCCTCAGAACTTTTTAGTAAGTCTGATAAAGAAGACAGGGAGAATCCCAGTGGCCATGAAAGAGAAACAGGTATATTGGGAAATAAGGAAATTCTGACCCTGAGTTTCCTGTAAAAGCAATGAAACCTTAGTTGGAAGAGGTCACTGGAAACCTGTGGTCATATGAGTGATGCATGTCTGATGGCACCTCTGGAGGAAGAAGAACTGCTGATAGCCTTGAATTGTTTTCTACACCTGATAAGGTCTCTCTTGTCGGTCAACTGGAAATGACAAAGGAGAAGAAATGATGGGGTTTGGGGGAGGCAGGACATGGGGGGTAGGGAGGGTCTTGTCTACCCACAAAGCTGGCCCCGCACTAGACCATGTTTCTCTTTTGAGTTACGCCCCAAGGCTGTTTTCCCAAGTGCCCATAGATTTCTTGTTTTTTGAGATGGAGTCTTGCTCTGTTGCCCAGGCTGGAGTGCAGTGGCGTGATCTTGGTTCACTGCAACCTCTGCCTCCCAGGTTCAAGTGACTCTCCTGCCTCAGATTCCCAAGTAGCTGGTACTATAGGTGTGTGCCACCATGCCCAGCTAATTTTTTTCTATTTTTAGTGGAGATGGGGTTTTGCCACATTGGCCAGGCTGGTCTCAAACTCCTGGATTCAAGTGATCCGCCCACCTTGGCCTCCCAAAGTCGTGGGATTTCAAGCATTAGCCAACATGCCAGCCAGTGCCCATAGATTTCTGATTGGAGGTTTGAGGCAGGACCTAATTACCAGCTCTTACCAAAGGATGGAGAGGTACCAGAGGGGGCATCCCATGAAGAGCACTGGTGAGAATGTCAGCGTGTGCATGGTTATTATAGTAAATGTCTTTCTCTTAATTTGTATAGAGCAGGCAAAAGAATCCACCAACGTGGTAGAGTTTATGAGTGCTGAAGATGACCGCTGCCTAATAACTCTCCGCTTAAATGACCAACCTAAGCCACCTGTGAGTACAGGGAGTGGGGCTCAAGGTTCTTATCTGTCTCTACTAGCGTAGTGACAGGTGGAAGCCACCTTTCCTGGTTCATAGACCATTTTGTCCTGGCCAACCATCTGTCAATTAAAAAAATTTTTTTAAGACAAGGCCTTGTTCTGTCGTCATAGTTCACTGCGGCCTCAGCCTCCCAAGCTCATGCGATCATCCTGCCTCAGCTTCCTGAGTAGCAAGAACTACAGGTGGTGGCACCATGCCTGCCTCATTTTAACATTTTTTATAGAGATGGAGTCTTGCTCCATTGCCCGGGCTGGTCTCAAACTCCTGGCCTGAAGAGATTCTCCCATCTTGGCTTCCCAAATCTCTGGGATTACAGGCATGAGCCACCATGCCTCATCAGCTGTCTGTCAGTTTTTTTCACCATCCCCTCCTTGAGATTGTTTTTGCCTCCATGTTTGTGTATTCTCTTTTCTTTTTCTTTTTCTTTTTTTTTTGAGACTGAGTTTCGCTCTTGTCGCCCAGGCTGGAGTGCAATGGCACGATCTTGGCTCACTGCCACCTCCACCTTCTGGGTTCAAATGATTCTCCTGCTTCAACCTCCTGAGTAGCTAGGATTATAGGCGCATGCCACCATGCCTGGCTAATTTTTGTATCTTTAGTAGAGACGGGATTTCACCATGTTGGCCAGGCTGGTCTCAAACTCCTGACCTCAGGTGATCACTCGCCTTGGCCTCCCAAAGTGCTGGGATTACAGGCATGAGTCACTGCACCTGGCGGCACCCGGCTGTGTGTTCTCTTTTCGTTCAACTCGGTTTTCCCTTGGAATACATGACTTATTTGGCCTCTGTCTCATTTCTTCATTTGGGATCTAGAGACTGAAGGAGCGTAATGTTTGGGAGTGACACTTAGCTCCTCCCTGGCCTGAAATGAGAATGAACTATTAGTAGCTGAATGCTGCGGCCCTTGAGAGGCAAGAGGGCTTGAGGACTGGGCCCTGAAGATACCCAACAAACAGAACTCAAAAAAACTCCATATTAAAATCAAGCATAAACATGTATTCATCACAGCATTTATGACAATGTAAAAACAGAAAAAGATCTTAAAAATATAAATATCCAAGTACAGTTGAATAATCCACCAGAAAGATTAAACTTGCCCTAAATCTCTAATCTTTTGTAATCCAGGCTTAATTTCAAAATGCTTTATGTTTTAAACAAATTACGCTCCTAGGCTGGGTGCGGTGTCTCACACCCGTAATCCCAGCACTTTGGGAGGCCGAGGCAGGTGGATCATGTGAGGTCTGGAGTTTGAGACCAGCCTGGCCAACATAGTGAAACCCCATCTCTACTAAAAATACAAAAAAAAAAAAAAAAAAAAAAATTAGCTGGGTGGTGGCGTGCGCCTGTAATCCCAGCTACTCTGGAGGCTGAGGCAGGAGCATCACTTGAACCCAGGAGGCAGAGGTTGCGGTGAGCCAGATTGCGCCACTGCACTCCAGCCTGGGCGACAGGGTGAGACTCCATCTCAAAAAAAAAAAAAAAGAAAAGAAATGACCCTCCGGTTTGGTTTTAGTTCTTCTAAAATGTAGAGAGGCTTGTCTTTGCAAAAAATGTTCCCATACTTTCTTTTGCCTTCTGACTTAGTATTTTGAAGTAGTATTAGGCACAATATTGAGATTGGTCAGCTTTTGAACAGTCATCCAGCATCTCTTCTGTTGCAAACGTTTTATTAGAAAGGATTTTGTCATCCTGTACAACAGCAACTTGGTTGTGAATTGACTGATGGAATAATCTTTTACTTCCTCTCCATACTTCTTTGCCTTTATATTATATAAGAAAGCCCAGGCTTCTAGAAGGGTACTTCTCTTATCTCTAGCTTTGTAGAATATGTTTAGTTGTACATAAGAGGCACTAACACCCCTCTAAAATTCTCATTTATGATCTGTGCTTGTAGAAGTCTCATTACAGAAAGCATCTGTTCTCTGAGAGTGATCAAGATTCGAGTACCAGTGAACTATCTTGGATCAGTAACCAAAAAAGGAAATCCCTAAAATCATATTCTGGTAGAAAGAAGACAAGAACCAGAAGTAGTATGAGCAGTAAGTCTGGCATGTCTTCTTTTGAATCACTTTTCAAATAGTGATTTTCAAATGAGATATTTATTTTTCGGTATGTAATGGGAGTGGGTCCAAAGAAAGATATGATCATGGGGCCAGCTTTCCCTGCTACAGTTACACTGGAAAGGCAAAATGTACTGTGTACATGAGATGGAAGAACGTGAAATTAACCAACAGTTGTTACAGATGAGTTTTGTATAAATGGAGTAGAAATTCAGATAAGAGGAATCTGTCATGAGCTGGAATCATCAGGAAAATCTTCAAGGAAGAGGTGGGTGGGACTTGATTTTTAACCCTTGGAAAAAAGAATAGGATTGTGAAGAGGAGAAAGGGAAGCATTATTAGGCAGGTAAAACCACAAGGGCATGCATGGTGGCTCACACCTCTAATCCCAGCACTTTGGGAGGCCGAGGTGGGAGGGTTGCTAGAGACCAGCCTGGGCAATGTGGTGAGACCACACCTCTACAAAATTAACACATTAGCTGGGCATGATGGTGTGTGTCTGTGGTCCCAGCTACTTGGGAGGCTGAGGCAGGAGGATTGCTTGAGCCCAGGAGGTCACGGCTGCAGTGAGCAGTGATCACTTCACTGCACTGCAGCTCAGGTGAAAGAGTGAGACCCTGTCTCAAACAAAACAAACTACAAGGACACAACAAGGATGTGGGGGTGACATTCGGGGACAAAGTCTGGAGCAGAGAATTCATGCTGAGTGGTGAGGAACTGAATGGTGAGGAGCAAGATTGAATATAGAAAGGATCTTAAGAGGAGACATTTCAGGAAGCTGTAGGAAGTGGGAATTGCTTTTAGCCTTAGCATATTGGGAGAGGGAGTAGTGAATTTTTATGCCTCATGAGTTAATGTGTATGTTGTGTACTTGTTTTCTTTCAATTTAGTCTTGTCAGTTTTCCCCCCCAGTAGTGGCAGTGACCGTGAGAAAGACCAAGTAAGTACATTTTATCTGGGTTGATATGTGCCCTACGAGTTAAACGGCATTTATTTCCCCAAAAACAACTTTCAGAAGTATGAAAATAACAAAATATTGGTTTACTGATATGTGAATCACTGTCAATGGAAATTGCAAGGACTTCTAAACATTTAATATGACTCTTGGGTAAGTATTTAGGGTCTTCTATGCTGGGCATGCTGGCTCATGCCTGTAATCCCAGCACTTTGGGATGCCAAGGCGGGTGCATCACTTGAGCTTGGGAGTTCGAGACCAGCCTGGGCAACATGGTGAAACCCCGTCTTTACAAAAAGTACAAAAATTAGCCAGGTGTGGTAGCATGTGCTTATAGTCCCAGCTACGCAGGAGGCTGAGGTGGGAGGATGGCTTGAGCCTGGGAGGATGGCTTGAGCCTGGGAGGTGGGGTTTGCAGTGAGCTGAGATTGCGCCACTGCACTCCAGCCTGGGTGACAGAATGAGACCCTGTCTCAGAAAAAAAAAAAAAAAGATTTAGGGTCTTTTTTTTTTTTAAACTGTTCCCAAATGTTGCTGGAGGATGTTTGTTATTAATGATGCTAAAATTCTGGGCTATTCCCATGTCCTGCAAATGTATACTCTTTTGAATGTATGTTCTGAGGTAAACTTGTTGGTTCAGTTCTTCCCTTAGTTTTTTCTAATGCTTTTAATGATTTAATTATTTAGACATTTATTTTGCAAGTGCTTAGGATACCTTCAGGCTTATATAAATATTGAATAAACCCTCAAAGTTTCTTCATTTCCCTTCATTTATCCTTGTTTTATATCAAAGTTGTAAAGAGTAGAGACAGCAGTGTCTGCACCAATTCAAAGCCAATTTTTGCCTTTTATTCACTGAATTACCTCTATCAGCAGTTGGTTTTTGTTTTGTGTCATATGAGCTATATATACAGTACAGAGTCTATAATCTAGTTCAGAGTGTTTTGTAAGGAGCAGCTGCTGTGATTCTGAGAGTATCGACAGTGTCCTGCCTGCTCATGCAGAAAGAGTTTGGTTAGGGTCTTAATCACACCTTCATCTTTCTTCCATCAACCTGGGATGTGTTGCTCTCTGTCAACCTGAAGGGCTCTCATGCTCTAAGGACAGGGGTGGTTTAAACCTATGAGTCAGAGTGCGTATTTATTCAGTGAATAGTTTAACCTGAAATAATGAGTTATCAGTTAGAAATGGACCCAAAGAACAGTTTCTAGTAAATACAGCTTTTATTTGAAATAAACACCAAAGAAATACCACAGCTTCAAAAATCTTTTTTTTTTTTTTTTTGAGACAGTCTTGCTCTGTCGTCCAGGTTGAAGTGCAACAGTGTGATCTCAGTTCACTGCAACCACCGCCTCTCAGGTTCAAGTGATTCTCCTGCCTCAGCCTCCTGAGCAACTGGGATTACAGGCCCCTGCCACCGTGCCCAGCTAATGTTTGTATTTTTAGTAGAGACAGAGTTTTGCCATGTTGGCCAGGCTGGTTTCGATCTCCTGACCTTAAGTGATCCACCTGCCTTGGCTTCCCAAAGTGCTGGGATTATAGGCATGAGCCACCGTGCCTGGCCACAGTTTCAAAAATCGATAAATTTAAGCTGTGCCTCTGGCAAGAAATCTATGTTGATTTTCAGTGAGGGCATTGCTGATTTTCTACAAATACTGGTATTCAAAATTATACTTCTCTCTTGTATAAGATAATAATTTACAGTACAGGTCAGCACATTTTTTCTGTAAAGGGCCAGATAGTAAATACTTTAGGCTTTCTGAACCATGCAATCTCTGTGGCAACTACTCACCTCAGCCTTTGTAGCCAGAAAACAGCCAGAGACAGAATGGAAACACATGGGTATGCTGTGTTCTAATAAAACTTTGTTTGCAAGAACAGCAACAGACTAGAGTTTGCCAACCCCTGATGTAGAGCAGTGGTTCTCAAACACCATTGGCCATCACAATGACCAGGATGGCTTGCTAAAACGTAGATTGCTGGGTCCTGTCCCTAGAGTTTTGAATTGAATAGATGGGACTTGAGAATTTGCGTTTCCATCAAGTTTCCAGATACTGCTCATGCCCCAATGTAGACCACACTTTGAGACCACACTTAGAGTTATCTACTGAAATATGACTTCATGTTCTTCCAATTCAGGGATCTTATGATCTTAGCATTTATTTTTTTGTGGCTATTGTTTATTAGATGTGTCTTTGAAAAATTAAAAAGAGAAGCTCAATAGCATTTATACCAAACTTTGAATGGAAAGCAAAAGGAGAAATTTCCTATTCAGTAAAAATGCAAGTGAGCTGAGATCCGGCCACTGCACTCCAGCCTGGGTGACAGAGCGAGACTCTGTCTCAAAAAAAAAAAAAAAAAAAAATTGCAGTCAGAATTTTATTTACTGCAGTAAAATCTCACTTAACCAGAGTACCTCAAGAAGGAAGGATTTAGTTAATGTAATTTTCCTGCTCATTAAAATTTAAATCTAGTGTCCCCTTACACTAATTCTAATTGTTAGATATTTTATTTCTTAGTAAGCTGAGTAAAGGAAATATAATTGAATCATTGATCATTTAGGATTTTCACTAGGATCATTAGGCAGATCAGTTCTCATGCTGTAATACAATAGAGGCAGGTAGAGCAGGCATGTTTCAATGAGTAGACACTTGGCTTTGACCCTAGGACTTTAGACAGGCACATTCCCTCTGTTTCTGTCTCGTGCACTCTGTCTCTCTCTTAACTAAATCTCTGAAATAAGCTTGCTTTATTCTCCTTCCCCTTTGGTTTTTATTAATGTATTTAATAAAAGTACTATTATTTGAAAATGTCTTTAAGATAATTTTAAATTAATAAAAATAGTAATGTTGTAGTTCCTAAGGAAAACATTTCTATCTCAATATATACATTGAAAATAGTTCAAAGAGTCAAGGTTTGAATCTATTGTCCATTTGAGTGGAGCAGTACTTTAATGCAGAGCAATTAGAAGATAACTGGAAATTGGCTGGGTGCGGTGGCACACGCCTGTAATCCCATCACTTTGGGAGGCAGAGGCGGGCAGATCACCTGAGGTCAGGAGTTTGAGGCCAGCCTGGCCAACATGGCGAAACCCCGTCTGTACTAAAAATACAAAAAAATTAGCTGGGTGTGGTGGCGCATGCCTATAATTCCAGCTACTCACAAAGCTGAGGCACGAGAATTGCTTGAACTCAGTAGGTGGAGGTTGCAGTGAGTTGAGATCATGCTACTGCACTCCAGCCCGGGTGGCAGAGTGACTCCATCTTAAACAAAAAAAAGATAACTGGAAATTGGAAATTTAAGAATCTATAAGATCCTTTTCAACTGTGAAAACCAGAGTCTAGGATCAGGTGCCAGCCTCTCTCTTTTTACCTAACAGAATTTATGATTTCCAAGGATTCATGAGATTTTCATTTCTGTATCTCCTGAAAGAATAAATGATCTAGTTCAGATTCAGTACCATGGCATTAAGCTAATATCCACCCCTCAACTAAAAACACACAGAAATTCTGAATAGAATTAGCATTTATTTTCAAATGGAGTAAATCTAATACTTAAGCTTCTTAAAGTAATATTGAAAATGTCTTAGAATATTTTGATAACTTGTTTTGAATTGTTATAAATGTTAACACTTTAAAAAGATACTATATTTTAGGCTAAGCTTCTGTCACCATCACAGAAAGACATACCCAATCAAAATAACACCGTATCTCCAAAGACTTCTGAAAAAAAATTCCAAGATAGTTTTGCTTTTTCGACTCCTGAAGATTCTGCCCAGAGAACAGGTACATGATTTTCCATTGACTTACATAGAAAAAATTTGTATTCGGGAAAGGAAGTTTGAAGTAAACAAAACATTTTCATTTTAATATATATTAAAGAAAATATGAAGATAACATTGTTCTTTACCTTAATGTCTCTTATTAGAAAATAACAGAGGATATGATGTTTTAATTTTGCTTTGCCATTTGAGATCAGCTTGTGCCCAAGAATTGCTGGTTTCTTCTTTTTTTAAAGAAGCAAGACATCTCAAATTATGACCTGTAGCAGGGGTTGGTAAACATTTTTTGTAAGGTTCCAATAGTAATTATTTTTTGCTTTTTGATCCATATGGTTTCTTTTTCTTGTCTTTTTTTTTTTTTTTTTTTTTTGACATGGAGTCTTGCTCTGTCGCCCAGGCTGGAGTGCAATGGTGTGATCCTAGCTCACTGCAACGTCCGCCTCCCAGGTTCAAGCAATTCTCCTGCCTCAGCCTCCCATACCCAGCTAATTTTTGTATTTTTAGTTGAGATGGAGTTTTGCCATGTTGGCCAGTCCATTCTGGAACTCCTGACCTCAAGTGATCTGCCCACCTTGCCCTCCCAAAGTGCTGGGATTACAGGCATGAGCCACCACAGCTGGCCTTGATCCATATGGTTTCTGTTGTAACTATTCAACTGTGCGGTTGTTGCACAAAATTGGCCGTGGATAAGATGTAAGCCAATGGGCTAGCTGTCTTTCCATAAAACTTTATTTATAAAATGAGTAGCAGACTGGATTTGGCTTGGGGGCCAGAGTTTGCCCACCCTTAACCTATAGGCTTTTTCTTAACCCTCAATGTATTTTATTTTCGCTGTCTCCTTTTTTAAGTTTGTTAAGAATATGATTTTGTTTGTTAATAACAATATTAATATTGTTTATTATTCTGCAGTTCAGTACATTGCCAGGCATACAATGATATTTAGTAAGTACTTCAATAACAATCTGTTAGTGTAGCTGCCACTGGAAGAAAATAAATAGGGAAAATAAAAAAGTAGAGAGGAAAATGTAACATTCAAGAATAAAAGGGGTCAGGTGCAGTGGCTCCCTCCTGTAATCCCAGCACTTTGGGAGGCTGAGGCAGGTGGATCACCTGAGGTCAGGAGTTCGAGACCAGCCTGACCAATATGGTAAATCTCATCTCTACTGAAAATACAAAAATTAGCCAGATGTGGTGGCAGGCTCCTGTAGTCCTAGCTGCTTGGGAGGCTGAGAGGAGAATTGCTTGAACTGGGTGGTGGAGGTTGCAGTGAGCTGAGATTGTGCCACTGCACTCCAGCCTGGGTGACAGAGTGAGACTCTATCTCACAAAGAAAAAAAAAAGTAAAACAGAATAAAAGAAAGGAAGAGAGCAAGAGAGGGAAGAAAGGAACAAAGTTACTACCAAAAAGTAACAATCAACAAGATGGCAATACTAAGTTCTTACCTACCAATAATTACTTTAAATGGATTAAATTCTCCAATCGAAAGACACAGAGTGGTTGAATGGATAGAAAAAAATGAGATTCAGCAATATGCTGTTTACAGGGGACTCACTTTACCTTAAGGACAGGTATAAACTGAAAGTGAAGGGTTGGAAAAAGATAGTCCATGCAAATGGCAATCAAAAGAGAGCAGGGATGTGGCTACACCTACATCAGGCAAAATAGACTTTCTGTCAAAATTTGTCACAAGAGACAAAGACTAGATGATGATAAAAGGGTTAATTCATCAACAGGAAATAGCAATTGTAAATATATATATGAACCCAACATTACAGCACCTAAATATATAAAGCAAATATTAACAGAATTGAAGAGAGAAATAGCAATACAATAACAGAGTTCTTTAATTTCCCCACCTTCAACAGTCCATAGATTATCCAGATAGAAAATCAATAAGAAAACAGTGGACTTGAATAATACAGTAGGCCAGATGAATCTAACTAACATATACAGAACATTCCGTCTCACAGTGGAACACATACTCTTCTGCAGTGCACAGTGCACATGGGACATTCTCCAGAACTGATCATATGTTGGGCCACAAAATACATCTTAACAAATTTGAAAAGACTGAAATAATCTTAGAGATCTTTTCTGATCACAGCAGTATGAAACTAGAAATAATAACAGGAGGAAGATTGGAAAATTCAAAAATACATGGAAATTAACACACTCCTGAATAACCAATGGATCAAAGAAATTAAAAGGGAAATTTAAAAATCTTGAGATAAATGAAAATGGAAACATACCAAAATTTACGGGATGCAGCAAGAGCAGTGTTAAAAGGTAAGTTTATAGCAATAAATACCTACATTAAGAAAAAAGAAAAATCTCAAATAACTTCACCCCTCAAGAAACTGAAGAAAGAAGAAACTAAACCCAAAGTCAGCTTAATGAAGAAAATAACAAATATTAAAGCATAAATAAATGAAATAGATACTAGAAAAGACAATAGAAATGATCAATGAAACTAAGAATTTGTATTTGGAAAGAGTGAAATTGACAGACCTTTAGCTAGAGAAAAAGAGAGAGGACTCAAAAGAAAAAAACATTATATATGAAAAAGGAGATATTACAACGGATACCGCAGAACTACAAAGGATCATAAGCAATTACAACAAACAAATTATACACCAACAAATTGGATAACCTAAAAGAAATGGATGAATTTCTAGAAACGTGACCTACCAAGACTGAATATGAAGAAATAGAAAAGCTGAAGAGACCCAGAATGAGTAAAGGGATCAAATCAGTAATCAAACCTCCCAACAGAGAGTAGCCCAGGGCCAGACGGTGTCATTGGTGAACTCTACCAAGTATTTAAAGAAAAATTAACACCAATCCTTTTCAAAGTCTTCTGAAAAACTGAGGTGGAGAGAACACTTCCAAACCCATTTTATGAGGCCATCTTTACCCTCTTGTCAAAGCCAGATAAGAATGCTACAAGAAAAGAAAATTACAGACCAATGTCCCTGATGAACGTATATGTAAAAACCTTCGAAAATACTAATGAAACTTACTAAATAGCACATTAAAAGGACTATATACCATGATAAAGTAGGATTTATCCCTGAGATTCAAGGAAGGTTCCACATACACAAATCAATAAATATGATAAACCACATTAACAGAATGAAGATTAAATTCCTAGAATCATCTCAATAGATGCAAAAAAAGCATTTGACAAAATTTAACATCCTTTCGTAATAACTCTCAATAAATTAGGTACATATGGAATGTACCTCAATATATGACAAGCCTATAGCCAGCATTCCACTCACTGGTGAAAAGCTGAAAGCTTTTCCTCTGAGATCAGGAATAAGACAAAGGTGCCTACTCTTGCCACTTCTGTTTAACATAGTACTGGAAGTCCTACCCAGTTCTATCCAGGCAAGGAAAAGAAATAAAAGACATCAAAATTAGAAGATGTTAAATTGTTTTTGTTTAAAGATGACATGATTTTACATATATCAAACCCTAAAGGCTTTACCAAAAAACTGTTAGAACTAATAAATGAATTCAGTAAAATTGCAGGATACAAAATCAACATACAAAAATCAGTTGTGGAGTTTGCTTCTGGGTTTCAACAAAACTACAACAAAACAAAAATGAGTTGCATTTCTAGACACTAACAATAAACTAAGAAAGAAATCAAGAAAATCTCGGCCAGGTGTGGTGGCTCACGCCTGTAATCCCAGTACTTTGGGACGCTGAGGCAGGCAGATCATGAGGTCAGGAGATCAAGACCATCCCAGCTAACACAGTGAAACCCCATCTCTACTAAAAATGCAAAAAATTAGCCGAGCGTGGTGGCACACTGTTGTAGTCCCAGCTACTCGGGAGGCTGAGGCAGGAGAATCGCTTGAACCCAGGAGGCACAGGTTGCAGTGAGCTGAGATCATGCCACGGCACTTCAGCCTGGGTGACACAGTGAGACTCCATCTCAAAAAAAAGAAAAAAGAAAAAATCTCACTTATAATAGCTTACAAAAAACACAAAAATAACCAAGGAGATGAAAGATCATACTCTGAAAACTATAAGACATTGATGAAATTAATTGAAGACATAAATGGAAGAATATCCTATGTACATGGATTGGAAGAATTAATATTGTTAAAATGTCCTCATTATCCAAAGCAATACACAGATTCAATTCAATTGCTATCAAATTTCTACTGGCATTTTTCACAGAAATAGAAAAAACTATCCTAAAATTTATATGGAACCACAAAAGACCCTAAATAACCAAAGCAATGTTGAGAAAGAGGAATACAGCTGGAGGCATCACACTTTTTGATTTCAAAGTATATTTAAAAACTATAGTAATCAAAACAGTATAGTACTGCCATAGAGACAGGCACATAAGGCCAAAATAACATTATCAGCCCAGACATAAACCTACACATATATATGGCCACTTAATTTATGAAAAGGGCACCAAGAATACACCATGTGGAAAGGAAAGCCTCTTCAATAAATGTGTTGGGAAAACTGGTTATCCACATACTAAACAATGAAATTGGACCCCTCTCTTACACCATATACAAAAATCAACTCAAAATAGATTAAGACTTTAAGATCTAAAACTGTACAACTACTAGACAAAAATAGGGAAACAGCTCTTTGACATTGGTCTCAGCAATGATTTTTTGCATACAACCCTAATAGCACAGTAAACTTTTGGGACTGTGTCATACTAAAAATCTTGTGCACAGCAAAGAAAGCAATCAATCAAATGGAAAGACAACCTAAAGAATGGGAGAAAATATTGGCAAATCATATATCTGATAATAGGTTAGGGGTTAATATTCAAAATAACTTCCACAATTCAAAAGCAAGAAAACACATAACCTAATTAAAAATGGGTAAAGAAGCTGGATAGACATTTTTCCAGAAAAGATGCGCAAATAGCTAATGGTGGGTATATGTGCTCAACATCACTGATCATTAGAGAAATGCAAATCAAAACCATAATGTGATATCTCACACCTGTCCAGATAGCTATTATCAAAAAGACAAGAGAGAACAAGTGTTGGCAAGGGTATGGAGAGAAGGGAACAATTGTACATTGTTGGTGGGAATGTAAATTGATGCAACCATTGTGGAAAACAGTATGGAGTTTTCTCAAAAAAATTAGAATTGTATAGAATCCTTCAATCCCACTTCCATGTATATATCCAAAAGAGATAAAATCAGCATCTTGAAGAGATATCTGCACTTCCATGTTTATTGCAGCATTTTTCACAATAGCCAGGATGTGGAATCAGCCTAAGTATCAGTCAGTGGATGAGTGAATATAGAAAATGTGGTATATATAAACAATGGAATACTATTCAGCCTTAAGAAGGAAATCAGGCCATATGCAACAACATGGATAAACCTGGAGGTCATTATGTTAAGTGAAATAAGCTAGTCACTAAAGGACAAATACTATATAATCTCACATATACACGGAATGTAAAAAAACCCATAGAAACAGAGTAGAACAGTGGTTGCCAGGTGCTAGGAGGTGGGGGGAAAGAGGAGATGGTCCTCAAAGGATATAAACTTTCAGGCATAACATGAACAAGTTCTGGGATCTACAGCACAGGCAGTGATGGATGTGCTCATTGATTTGAAAGTGATCATCATTACACCATGTATATGTATATCAAATCATCAGAAACGAGTAAGAGGCAATAAGGGAGGGGATTCTAAGGGAGAGAAGAGAAGAATCACACGATAGAGGTGGAAGAATCCCTGCCCATGTTATTTGAGGCCGATCTAGTTGAAGTAACTGGCTGTTAATCTTACCTACAGATGTACAAACCTAATAAGAATTCATGTCCAGAAGATACAGTCAGTAGATTTTTGTTTCACTTAGAACTGTGTCCCTTTTTTTGATGATGAGATTTAATATCTAGAATGATAGTGAATTCTTATTGCTTTGTTACTTGGCATGTATTCACTTGAAACTTCTCTCTAATGCTCAGAGCTTCAAGGTCCTCACTCGCTGAGCAAGCTCACTTCCTTGGAGCACCCAGAAGATGAAGAAAACATATCTAAGGTACTATTTAATTGTTGGTTATTCATCTGATTTTCCAGAATTAATGTCATATTTGCATAACACATTGGCTATTCCTTTTGACGGGGTAATATAACACCACCTGTTTCCTGCTTCGCCATAAAGGACATATATTTGTGGTCTGTTCTGTTTTTAAGATTGTGAACCAAGAATCGCTAATGGAAAGTACTAGCTTGAAACATAAGCTGCAAAACTTGGAAGACAGAGGTGAGAGAATAGTCCTTTTTTTGGGGGGGGGGGAGGCGCAGAATAAAATGAAATTAATCTGATTTTGGCAGACTGGGCTGTTACTCAGATTGCAGATCAAGTCACTTTGCACAGTGACTTTTGCCAGGCCGTGGAGGGAAGAGTGTGAGCTGCTTATTAGTTCTAAATGTTCATGAAGGTTAGGAGGAAAAATGGAGGGCTCCATTCAGAAACCAGGACCTCTTGTGCCAAGGAAGGTATAGCCTGGGACCTGAATCCCACCAGCCAGTCACACCTCTCCAGCCTCAGAGGAGGGCACAGTGCGGGTACTTTCCTAAGGATCTCATCCAGAGCTTATTTCATTCTCAAGCATGTACTTGCAGTTTATAAGAAATGTTCCAAAACATTGTGTGGTCAAATTATTAAAACTTCTGAGTTCATTTACTCATGTTAACAGTGGTATAAAGATTCCCAGCCTGGTCCACAATGTTGTATATAATATAATGTAATGATATAATACTTTTCTACTGTTTATGATGTTTCTTGACTGCATTTTTTCTCTACTTTAAAAAATTACATATCGAGAGGATTCAACTGGTTATAAATATGTGTAGGATATTTAGAAAATTAATGCAACAAATATCTGCAAGCCATCATCCAGTTTTAGAAATATAACATTACTATTGCTTTCAAAATCCTGGTATGCATTACCTGAAACCCATCCCACCCCCTCCCCTTAATTTTATGTCTGAATCTCTGCTTTTTTGTTCATTTGTGCATTGGGGGAATTCCATACATTCAGAAGAGATAGTCAGATGTGTACAGTTTAAAGAATGACTATAAAGAGAACATCTGTGTAACCACAGCTCAAACTGGGAACTAGAAAATTGCCATTGGCTTACAATCCTTCCATACCAGATTATTACTTATTAATTTCTTTCATCTCTCATGGAGGTAATGACTTAGGACTTTTGTAAAAACCCTTCAGTTACTTCTCTTTATACTTTTGCTTTCTCCGTATATATCCCTAAATAATATACAGTTTAGTTTTATCTGATTTTAAATGTAAACAAATGACATTATACTGTATATGTTATATATGGCTTCTTTTGCTCAGTCATTTGTGAGATCCATTCATGCTAATATGTGTAAGTGAAGTATATTTCTTTAGCATTCAGTTACATGAAAATACCACATTTAAAAATCCATTCCAGTGCTGTGGGATATTTGGATTTTTGCAGTTTTGGTTGTTAGAAATAATGCCACTATGAAGAATCATGCGCATTTCTCCTGATACACATGTTAAAAATCTTGTCTAGGTACATTTTTAGGAGTATAATTGCTGGGTTACAGAATATGCATACCTTTAACAATTTTACATATGCCAAACTTTCTCAAAGTGACTGTATGTGTTACTTTTCCACTGGCTGTGTATGAGAGCCCTGTTGCTTCACATCCTCACCAACACTTGGTATTTTAAATTTCTGATGTGTGTGTGTGTGGACACTGAAGTTTTAATTCAAATATCCCTGATTGAAGTTTAGCATAGTTTTATGTGTTTATTAGCCATTTTAATTTCCTCTTTTGTGTAGTGTCTAACATGTCTTGCCTAGTTGTCTATAGAATTATCTTCTTATATTGATTCCTAGGAATTCTTCATAATACATTCTGGACACTCGTCCTTGATTATGTGGCTTGTAAATACCTTCTTCCACTGTGTGGTCTGTACTTCTTTCTCTGTATAATGCGTTTAAGATTGCTTTTTTGATAAACCAAAGCTTTTAATTTTAATAAATTCTATTTCTTCAATCTTTTCTCTGTGGTTAGTCATATGAAATTCTTACCAAAAACATATGATCATATATTATTTCCTATATTACTACATTTAATGCTATTCATTTCTCTCTAAGTACTGCTTTAGGTGAATCTCACACATTATAATATATAATATTTGTCATTATTTACTTTAAAATATTATTTTTAATTTTTTAATTTTTAATTTTATTTTATTTTGAGACAGAGTCTCACTCTGTCACCCAGGCTGGAGTGCAGTGGCATGATCTTGGCTCATTGCAACCTCCGTCTCCCGGGTTCAAGCGATTCTCCTGCTTCAGCCTCCCGAGTAGCTGGGATTACAGGCATGTGCCACCATGCCTGACTAACTTTGTATTTTTAATAGAGGCGGGGTTTCGCCATGTTGGCCGTGCTGCTCTTGAACTCCTGACCTCAGGTGATCTGCCTGCCTTGGACTCCCAAAGTGCTGAGATTACAGGCATGAGCCACCATGCCCGGCCTAAAATATTATTTTTTTTTATTTCTTTATTGACCAGATGTTGGTTAGAAATATATTTGTTAATTCTTAGTGGTATAGGAGTTCTTAGCTATCTTTTGGTTATTGTTTTCTAGTTTGATTGCATTGTGACTAGAGAACATAGTCTGTATGATTATGCCTTTTGAAATTTTGAGATGTACTTTATGGCTTAGTATATGCCAATTTTTAAAAATATTAATTTGTGGTTAAAAGAGTATATTTCACAATCATTGGGTACAGTGTCTATATATGTATATTCATTAGGTTACTTTTCTTGACTATATTCTTCAAATCTTATATTCTTACTATTTTTTAATCAGTCTACTTATTATATCAAGTGCTGAGAGAAGTGTATTAAAACCTTTCGTTATGATTGCAGATTTGCCAGTTTTTTCTTCTGGTTCTGTTCAATTTTTGCTTCCTACAAGTCTTTTTTCTAAAGAATAAGTCTTTAGGCCAGGCATGGTGGCTCACACCTGTAATCCCAGCACTTTGGGAGGCTGAGGCGGGTGGATCACTTGAGGTCAGGAGTTCAAGACCAGCCTGACCAACATGGTGAAACCCTGTCTCCACTAAAAATACAAAAATTAGCTAGGTGTGATGATGCATGCCTGTAATCCCAGCTACTTGTGAGGCTGAGGCGAGAGAATCACTTGAACCCAGGAGGTGGAGGTTGCGGTCAGCCAAGGTCGTGCCATGGCACTCCAGTCTGGGCGACAGAGTGAGACTCCATCTCAAAAAAAAAAAAAAAACAAAAAAAGAATAAGTTTTAAATAAAAGCAAAATAGTTAACTTATTGTGTATTTACCTTATGGCATATTAAAACTCTTATCATTATGAAGTGATGACCCCTATATCTGGTCATGTTTTTGTCTTAAAGTCTGTTTATTTTGTTTAGAATTTTCATGGTATAATTTCTAAAAGTCTTCTTATGACTGACGTATGTGTATGTGTTTCCTAATGTTATATATTGTTATATATATAACTTGTAAACAGCCTGTAGTTGGACTTCCTTGTCCCTCATTTCATAGTATGTCTTTTAACTGGAGTATTTAGTCCATTTATATTTCACGTACTTCCCCGCATATTTGGATTATATCTACTAATTTATTTTGTACTTTCTGTGTGCCCCAACCATTCTGTTTTCTTTCTCTCATTCTTTTCATTTTGCATAAGTATTTTTATTGTACTTTTACCTCTACTCATTTGTAGTTATATACCCTCTTTTTTCTTTTATTGATTAACTTAGAAACCATAACATGTAAATTTCTAAGTCTAAATTTAATTTAGTGTTAATCTAGTGTGACTTTTACATAATGTGTAAATTTCTAAGCCTAAATTTAATTTACTGTTACTTTTCCTCCAGATTATATAGATCTAAGATCCTTGAATTCCATTGGCCTACCCCAACCACATAATGTGTTGGTGTTCTTTATTTTAAAACTTGAGGTTGAATTTTTGCTTTATGAAAATGCCCATTCAACCCTTATTCTTGAATTTTGCTGGGTGAAGAATACCATGTTGGCAAAATTTTTTCTATCATACATTAAATAAATTATTCAGTTGTTTTTTGTATTCTATTCTTCCTGATGAAGATTTAGCTGTCAATCTACCAGTCACTCTTCAAAGGTAATTTGTCGTTTTTTTTTCCTCCTTCTGAATATATATAAGATTTTTTCCATTTATCCTTGGTAATGTTCCACTTATTAAAATTTGTCTAAGTAAGTCTAAATACGTCTAGGTAAGCAAAAACGTTTTTGTTTATGTTCCTTGGCATTTGTAGGGAATCTGGAATATGACATGTCTTTCATCAGTTCTGGGAAATTCTCAGTCACTATCTCCTCAAGTATTGCTTTTGGCTCATTTTTCTTTCTCCTGCTTGAACTCCAACTAGATTCTACATCTTTTAGCCACTCCTACATATTTTCTATTCCTTCACTTTATTTGCATGCTAGATAATTTCATCTGTTTTTCACAACTACCTGTTCACCAGTATCTAATACTGGACCTATCATTGAATGTTTATTATATTTTTTTATTTCTAGAAGTTGTTTGGTCCTTTCTAGAGCTGCTAGGTCCTTTTGTGTAGTTCCTATTCCCTGAATACTTTTTTTTTTTTTTTTTTTGAGATGGAGTCTCGCTCTGTCACCCAGGCTGGAGTGCAGTGGCGCGATCTCAGCTCACTGCAAGCTCCGCCTCCTGGGTTCACACCATTCTCCTGCCTCAGCCTCCCGAGTAGCTGGGACTACAGGCGCCCGCCACCACACCTGTCCAGCTAATTGTTTGTATTTTTAGTAGAGACAAGGTTTCACCGTGTTAGCCAGGATGGTCTCGATCTCCTGACCTCGTGATCCGCCCGCCTCAGCCTCCCAAAGTACTGGAATTACAGTTGTGAGCCACCGCGCCCGGCCTCCCTGAAGATATTTTTAAGCTTGTTTTTCTTTGTTTAAATAGAATAGTTAATCTTCTTCCCTCTTTTTCAAAGTTGACTTTAGTTGTTCAAGGGACTTTTTTTTTTTTTCATATAAATTTAGACTAAGTTGATCAAGTTACTTAAGTTCACTGGAATTTTGATAGAAATTGCATTAAATATATAAGTTAACTTGAAGAGAAGTGACATCTTTAAAATATTAAACCATCCCACACAAGAGTATGAAATGTCTCTCTATTGGTCTGTGTCATTGCATCCTTTATTGAGTTTTAAAGTTTT